AATGTATGATATGTATTAGTGGTGTGTGTTATTATATATACTAAATTATATTAATATGAATATAATATATATAATATATTATAATATATATAATATTATATTATATATTAATGTTTAATTATAAGTATACGGCTTTGGAGACGCACGGTGTGTGTGGAGTGTGGGTGCGGTGATTGATCTTTATGATTTACAAAATAATAACGCTGTAATTGTAGCACGAATGTTTTGGGGTTAGTGAGTGCTAAGAGAAATTGCTCACGTAAGTATGATAGTTGTGTATGGGTAGACGGATAAAGACAGAGGAGATATGGATAATTGGATTACCGATCTGTGTGCTTCCAGAGCTATCAAGTGATTGTGTTTGGCATGTCAAGGTGCATTGCACGTGTGTGAACACACGTTGTGGTTTACGTCACACAAACGCAATTTTCCATTCACTTCCATACCCTTCCACCCTTAGCCAAGCCCCAGATAGCTGGGGCGTCCGCGTTGCTTCCATTCTCTTACGTCACGAATTCAGTTCGGCTGACATAACGGATATGTTTCGGATCGAAGGATAAACATTTACGCACCCAATACATGTATTTAATTATTTTCGTATGTGTTAATAATAATAATTATAGTGTTTATAATATATGTATTATATTATATATTAATATATATATATTGTTATAATATTAATAGATATTATATATATCATACATACATACATACATATCTATCCCTACCCCATCTTATCTATCTATCATTATCTATGCTATACTTAATTATATAAATATATAATTAATAGTCATTATTATATATATGAATATATTAAAGTTAACAATATACTAATACATACATACATACCATTAATCTATCATTCATTATCCCAGTCTAATCTATACAAATCTATCCAATAATTATTTTTATCTATGTGTGTAGTAAATTAATATATATATAGATTATAAGAGTATTATAAGTGATATATATAAGTATACAGGTATGAATAACAAGTATATATATATATATATGTATATATATGTATGTATGCTCTATAGTATATAATAATATATAATACTATATCAGTAGCTAATGTAGTAGTATATATACGTAATATATAGCGACCCACTACACAATCCACACTTCCATTTCACACAACTACACATAAATAGTAAATATATAGTATAGCGGGTGAGGTGGTAGTAGTATATATATATACTATATATATTAATACTATATTTAGACCTATAAATATACTTATATTTTATATATTTATTACATATTGTTTATTACATATATATATTTATAAACATAATATACATGAAATATGATAGATATTATATTATAGGTATAGTATATATGTAGCCTATCACCATCTTATATATATATCTGTTATACCCTCCGTATATATCTTGACACACACAATACACACACAGCATATATTAGTAGTGTGGTGTGTGCCGGTATGAGGGTGCATATAATATTAGTTATCCTGTATGTGTGTATTGAATAACATGTAGATACGAACGCCTTGCAGCAGCGACTACACACAAAACACACGACACACAACACCACCGCACACGATGAGCGGCACGCACCTCCTATATAATACCATCATACCATTATAGGGTGAGGATATTTATTCCATAGATATATATAGGTATATACTTATCTATTGCTTATCTAGTTATCACTATAGCCTGGTGCAATATATAGTGCCTTATATAACAATATTTATATATACCACACACACACCACAACACACCGACACACAACACACAACACTACACACACACACACGACACACATAAGTACTATCTGATAATTTATATGCTACTAGTAGTTGTTATCATATATATTATATATATATATTAGTGTATTCTTATATATGATATAATATTGTTAGTGTATATAGGGCGTTAGTCTTGCTATATAGAATGTATGATATTACGTTATGTATAGTTTACTATATTGTTATATATATATATACTAGTATATGTTATGGTAAATAAGTATCATATGTTGTATACCTAGTATATGGTATAATAGTATGTACATATAGTAAGTAGCGTAGTAGGTATATATATAGTATTATAAGCTATATATTTGCATTATGTCTAGTAAGTTATATATATTATATATATGTATGGTAGATACATAGATGTAATATATATAGATATATATATACATATATATTATACTATATATATATATTTGCATATATTATATATAGTATATATATATATTATAATATGTAATATATGTATTTCATCGTAAGAGTTGGGGGGAGAACAAGTGGAATGAAAAGGTTTTAGATGAAAGGGAGTATAGAGTTGAGGTTAAACTTCCCCCGAATGAGAAATCCCGGGACCTGCCGACCGTCATGGACCCCGGCAGTCGGGTGACGAGACGGACGAGCAAGACCGTTCGTCTGTCTTCCTCTCTTGCTAAAGGATATGGATAAGGTCGATATGCGAAGCTGAGCCTCACTCGGGCTATGAGGGTACCCCGGCCGGTG